CTTTGGATATTTAGATTTGGCCTGACCTCGTTTTCGCAACTTGGTCTTGTTGTCAGGACGACTGAATTAAACGCACTTTTTCAGAGCTCCCCTGCTATTGTTATGATGATATCCAGCAGCAGACCGTAGACTTGATACATTCCTAGGCGTTTCGCCGGCATCATCAATGAGTCTTGCCATTTTCATCACCGAGCTACAACTCGTCAAAATGGCAGGTTAAGTCAATCCCTTGACTCGGTTTGGTATATTTTTTGCTCTATCTCATGAAGTATGGATTCCTGCTCTGATGATGTCTGTCACAGTAAGGACGAAAGCTTAGCACAGTTACATTGGGGTCGCAGGACGATGAGTCGAGGAACTCTTCGCACAATTCAACGGTCTTCCATAAGCAGCAATCATCTTTAGGCTTACGGTGAGACATCACGAATTCCTTCCAACAAACGTTCCATCCGAAAAGAAGAGCCCTGCAAAATATTTCGACTATAATCCCCGTTCACGTTATATTCGAGGATTTATATATTGCTGATTATCATGCCTATGCATCCTTTCCAAGCATTCGTATTTCAAACTGACCATCCTGCTTAATCCTATTGTGCATATGTAAAGTCAGACATGTCATCAGTCACCTTGTTACAGACATACACGAAAAACATACGCAGGCGTACAAGCACACTTGCGAACAAATAATATTTTGCTCCGAGGTCGTTTTCCACTCGCCGATTAATTCGAAATTGACCTACATCTTTGACCTGGTATGTTTATTGCATTTGATTTCATATCCCAGAAGTGGACCTACACCCATAACTTTTCAAGCTGATTTAACAGATTTGATTTTTCTCACTGCAACTGCCCTCTCTTGACTTCCATTCGTCCCTGAATCCTTTTCTTGGCGACGTCTCTTTTTCTTGATTAGATGTCCCTGGCCCAAGCGTCTTCTCATAATAAGCCTCTTCCAACCTCTCATTCGTCAGGTTTCTTGGAGAGAATATGTTCATGCTTTCTCCCGCCCTCCGATCCTTCGTTTCCTTTCCATATGAGGCCAGTCCTTTTCATCCGGACCATATGACTAATCAAAAAAATATATTGAGCCATCTCCGATCTTTCCGTATCCATTGTCCTGCAGTCATGAGTGTTCTTCGGTCCTTGTGCTAGTTGTCCTTTCAGTCCCTCCGATGTACCTTTGTTTACAATCTCTGTAGTTTATGCTGTAAACTCAGAGCACTCCATTTTTGTTGAGCTTACTTCCATTTCGAGTGAGTGTTGGGTGAAGAGATTCGAAGGTCGGTTCCACCAGATGACGGTAGATTCCTCTTGACCAGCTGTCGATTGGCTTTACTGGAAGATTCATGCTGACGCTGTTTCCGAG